TTTTTGTCGATCAGTCAACTGAAACAACGATTTTCACTGTTCAACCTTCAAAAGAAGCGCACCTCGGCTTACATTCGCCAAGAAAAGTTATTTGCACGCCTTTCTCTTTTCCACCCAAAAGAGAAAGGACGAAAATCCCAGTAGATGCCCGGAGAATTCCTTACAGTTCGACCGAATGGTACAAGAACAGTCACAGCAAATTCAAGAACTGAATATTACCGTCAAATCTACTTTTTTATAAACGTAAGTATGTCAAAATAACCCAACAAAAGCCAAGTAGTGGGTCAATCACTGCAGGAACTCCGGGACGTCGCCTGAACACCATAGCTACCATCGAGGCCATGGCAGGGAGGAGTTGTAAAATGGGATGATGAAACACTGTTCATGCTAACAGCAGCAAATTCACGGGTCGGAAGTAGTGGATTCATTCCGAGGATGCCAGAAACAAAAAGACAGGGTGCTAAGGAGCAGCACAAGCCTTTTTTCTCAAAAATCGAAAGTCAACTAACACTGCTAATATCAACGTTGTTGATGTCGCCATTTTGCTCCGATTCGTCAAGTTCTTCGTATGCTAACGTTTTCACAACCATACTCAGGCGTACATCATCCGACACCGTAGTCTGCATATGTTTTCGAAGGGCGGCAGTTATAATTCCCAAATAATCCAAGCTACAAGTAAAAACAACGTTCTCGAAATGGAACAGAAAACACAGAGGCATGCTGATCTGTGGCAAGTGCACTGAGTTGAGGGTGCGCCTCTCCTTTTCTAGCTTAATTTGCAAGCCTGTGTGAACATGCATCATACTGAGTGTTCAAGATCTGCGCCTCAGTTTTGTGCCTCAACAATTCTGGAGGCAGTGTCTCAGTTATCCCTTGTTTAGAAAGTTGGACGGAAGGAATGATACAGTCAAAGAAAAGGCCTGAATTGTCATCGAGAATTAGCTTTATTACTGAGTAAATAGTAAGTAAAACCAAATGCTCTTCAAACGGAAGTTTGAAGAGCATTTGGTTTTACTTACTATTTACGTTTGCATAAGTCGTTTTATAGAGAAATAATTGGCCAACGCACGGGCTGCCATGCGAAGATGCGTTTTTTGCATAGTTCCCCACAGTTTTTATTGCTATCGGCATCGGCTTTTTCGGCAAATGCTTCTAGCTAAACAAATTAAGACTGGCCGCTAAAACTGCCAAGAAACACCCCCTTAAAAATTTCAGCTTTCTAGCTTCCCTGGTTCCTGATTAAGTAACTTAATGGAAAAAATTCTTACGGGCCCGTGCGTGCTTGCCACGCAGCTGAATGAAACTTAGGTGGACGGGATATATCCTCTTAAAATTACAGTCCTTCAGCTTCTCACGTACTCGAGTTATCAACTTACTCGAAAAAATTTTGGCGGTCCTGTATGCGAGTACCACTCTTATTCGGGGGCTGGGTTTGAGCTCACTAATACCCGCTTGGACGGGGAACATCACCCCAAGATTTCAGCTTTCTAGCTTCTCAGATCCCCGAGTTATGAACTTGCCCGAAAAAAACTTTGGCGGACCCGTACGCGGGTACCACACTTACCCGGGGGCTGGGTTTGAGCTCATTAATATCTACTTGGATGGGGAACATCCCCTTAAAATTCCAGCCTTCTAGCTTTTCTGGTTCGCGAGTTATCAAGTTACCAGGAAAAAACTTTGGCGAGCTCTTACGTGGGTACCACGCGGGTAAGACCGCCCATTTCGGGAATGGGGGCCCGTACGTACATGTAGATTATGTCCCCAAACTTTCAGCCCTGTAGCTTTTGCCGGCCTCGAGATGAAAAATCGGTACAGACGAACACACAGACACACGGACACACAGACAGACAACCTCTCGTCAATATGCGTTTTCTGCATTGTATAGCTGCAAAAAGCGCATAAAAATGAGTTCACAGGCACAGAGATACGGAATTTGACCAACGTAACCAACGGATTTGACAACAGAGGCAAAGGGAAACGCAATCTATTCGGAAGAGCGGCGTAACCATTTTGAAACTACAATACCACCTTGACGGCAGAAGAACCTGCCTATAAAAAAACAATTGGTTTTTAATATTGGAAAATATGATATCAGGTGCATGGAGTGCGAAAATAGGAGGAGAACGGTCTATGTGTCAAAGGTTGCTAATTTGGAGGAAGTATTTGAGAACTCAGATGCCCCCAAAAATTCAAAGGCCAAGCAGGCCAACAATATAAGCAAAGCATTGGTAATACCTGGCTATCCTCAGAGACATATCATAATTCTTCGAGTAAGTGATCGTCATCAGATGAGCGCTAAGCAACGACACAAGCATATCGGCAGCCGGCCATTCTGGCTCATACCAAGCAGCCAGCAAATCGTGTAGGAAGTGATCGAAAAGGCGCCGATAGTCCTCTTCTGCTTTCGCTGTACATCTAAACAATAACGCGCTAGCTTCAAGGAATTGGAGAAAGCAAAAGGCTACGTTACACTTGAAAAGCCTTGAAAATCAGATTCGAAAGTACGGTACACTGGGTTGCAAGAGACTATCTAATCGGTATTTCAGAGCGCCTCATTTTGTCTTAAAACACCAAAAGCTACTCTGAGGCAAAACAATTTTTGATACTATTTGTATCCGAAAAAAAGCGAAAAAATAGAACGAATCATTAGTCAGTAATGTCAGAAAATGAGGTAGCGCCAATTTTGTATGTAACCATGAACAGGCTGCCAGCTGCGTTGAGAGTGAGAAAATGCGCGACAAAGAAATGATCATCAAACAAAGTATTGAAGGAATTACCACTAATCCGAGGCGATACCCTCTAGCTGTGGAATAGCTTTCATGTACTGGACTAGCACTGCACGAAATTAGTTAAGCTTAGAAAAGCGAAAAGGCAATTTGCGCCAATAACAGCTGTGATTCGACTGCTGCATTTTCCTTTTACCAAAGTGTGTTGTAAACAATTAGATGCAAGAAAAAACCTTCATAATCAGAATTTAGTTGCAAAAAAAATGAATTTCTTTCAAAATTTTTGTAAAGAGAGTGAAGTGTGAAAAACACGGCAGGAGAGGCAATGCTCACATATCGCCTGTAACGATGCAGGCGACCGAAGATAAATATTAAGAATCGGATAACTCCAACGTTGAATTCAACCATGAAAAAATCACAGCACGGCGCTGCAGAAGCACAGATCAGTGGACTGCTAAGCCGAATCGTTCACAAATAAATCCGATACTTTCAGATCAAACACTCAATTCACTTCTGTAGAAAAACATAAAAACAGGATCAGTTTAATAACCTTGTGAGGAAACCCATCAGGAACATATCTGCTAGTTTCTTTGATTCCATTAATGAATCGTTCACTGTGGCATCTACAACTGCCAGTTCACTGTTCGCATCAAGAGACTCTTCATTTCGACGACGTCGTGGATGCTGCAAATTTTATGAAAGGGTAGAGGGATAAATGTATGGATGGAGAGGTAGACATCACGATAGACTTCACTATCCGTTTAGCGATGCGAAAAAACCAGAATGTTCCTAATGGAAATTGGGTTTGGATATTCAAAAATTAGAAATATACAGTCCAGCGCCTCCCAATATAGCTGGTTTAGGACACAATATGTAATTATTTCGGAATCCAGCTTACTCCCTTGACAGCTGCTCATCGAGTTGGTGAACGGTGACAA